ATACATGGTAATGTGAAGGCTTCTTACCATTGTGGGGAGTTTGTATATATGCATGCACGAAGACTCACAGAAGGATTGTTGCAATTATCGAGTTTCATATTCGAGACATTCTTTGAGTGTTCGTGAGTTTTTAATTGTTTTCTTCTTTGTTTAGTTTAGCAGCAATTTAATTTTGTTCTTACATCACTGAAGAGTTGTTTTTGTTTTTTATTCATAAACTCATCGAGTGCTTAGGAATTAAGTACTTTTTGTAGTTAGGAATGATCCAATAGCTATTTTGAAGTCAACATTGTGACCAGTGAAGTAATTACATGAGTCGAGTATAGTGTTGGTAAGATTAGGAAAGAGACCTTGTCTTGTAAGTCCAAACTATACATTGTACGCGCAAACCTATCTGTTAATGAGATTTTTAAAAGGTAGTGGGACGCTCCCCGAATATGATTTTGTTTATTCATTGCTTCAACTTTTAATTTCTAAGTCTAAACATCCCCACTAACCTTTCATAATACTAAAGATATTTTTATTTATTTTATTTTATTTACATATTAATAACCTAGCATCGCATGAATTAATTTGTGCACAATTTATTAGCATGGAAAGATGAGTTCTATTTAATTTGATGTTGATCAAGAAAGAAATGAGAAACTGAGAATACATAAAGTTAATTGGCTTTATTCATATTAATGGATTCTCTAATATTTATATGCGGATAGAGTGAAATTAATTAATCATTCATCCAAATTGAGCAACTTTTATAGTGAGCGCGGCATCTCTCTCGTGCCCAGTAATTGCCTGATATGAATGAGTGATTCATTTCATGACTTTCCCTTACCCAGACATTAAAACTAAATCAAATTTAATCTTAATAAATCTATAATTATCTACTATTTCTTTTGTTGATGAAATGAAAATTTTATTAAATTTATCTCCCTATTCAATTCTTTTAGCATATAACTCTTGCATTATTAATACCACCATTAAGCTACAAAATATAGCATTAGATACATATGAAGTATGAAACGAAATGGCCATACATCATACTCAAATTTTGTCAGTAACTATGTTAATAATGGGATTTGCAATTTTTAATATTGATGTCGCCAATGCTCAAAATCATTCATCACCACTAAAATATTGTTATATTACAGGTTTTGCTTTTTATTGTGCACGTGATATAATTACTGTGATAGTTAACATAGATCCTTATTCGAGATATCGTTTTCCAAGTGACAAATGTTGTAAATATGCACGCAAGGCTGACCTTAAACTCTTCTGCAAGATTATGAATACAAAGATATACGAGTCAAGTTCGGTGGCATACGTGGCTATGATTTGTGGTAACCCTCTCCCCAAGGGTACAAAATGTGGAGGTAAGTCTGTAACTTTACCTTTACATCATGCACTCTTAATCTCAAGAAATTAAATATTAAGCATTTATTGTGTTTAAAGAATTAAACTCAAACGAAAGATTATTAATTTAAAACATACTTTCAAAGGCTAAAAACCCTATGCAAGTGATTATATATTACTTTTACATTAAATTTAACCCAAAATCATTGAAATTCCGGCATGATATCCAACTAAAATAGCACATCTAAAACAGATTGAATTTCATGTTTTAGATGGATCCATAGTACTTCTCTATTGTTGGGGAAAAAAAAAATTAAAACAATTATTCAGCAACCTATTGTTGCAAACAAAAAAAAAAAACCAAAAAGATAGAAAGTTTATTATTATGTCATATTTAAATATAGGATGCTTAACTTAAGAAAATCAAATATGTTGGATTTCATACTTCTAGGGGTAAAACTTATAAAAGAATTTTTGCATTTGCACGTTCCCTACTTTATAATTAATTCATAGGAAACAATTACTTTTTGTTCCTTAAGCTCCAAATATTAATTTAATAAAATTTGGTTTCCTAAAATTTGTAGTGTAACCATTTGATATTTTCGTTTGTTAGTCATTACTTATTGATGGCTAATTAAAAATCTAATAATCAAATTTTCACAAAAATATAGAACTTTTTGAAAACCACCTTATGAAAATGATGCCTTCTAATTACCGATCAGATCCTTGATTGAATAGTAATTACTTTTTAGTAACAAATATTTTTGGAGCAAAAGTTTAGTCTATTGCTAAAAATACTTAATCACTTTTATATATTTGGATTCATAGATTATTGTACTAGTATAAATGACGCAATCATCTCAAAGTTTTAGCTCAATTATATATGGTGCAGATTACACTGTGACATAATGAATCAAGAACTAAGGACGGGACACTATGTGATAAAGAAATACATGGTAAAACATGTTTCCTGTAATAATTCGTTGTGTACGATTTGGCTGAGATTCATTCATAAAATATGACTATAACAATATATTCTTAGTCTTTATTTGTATCCTTACAAGCAGTCGTGCTTGTTAAAAAATTAGTTGAATAAAATTGAGCTTGACTTATTTTAACTGATTTTTAATGATTAAATATTTAATTTGGATTGAATAAATTGTGCAAAAAAATTTTACATTTCGAGTAGATACTGGTTTTCAGTAAGTGAAAAATAAATTATTAAAGATAGTCACTAATGGACATATAAAACTTTGTTTGGGGATTCGAAGAGTCAAGAGTCTTATCCCACATTAGACTTATAAATAAAGATAATTCTCTTTATTATAATAAAGAGAGTTGGAGATGTCACAACAACACCAAAACTATACACCGAGTAATGGAGTTAGCTTCGGCCACACGCATGCACGCTCCCATCTGTTGGCCGGCTCGGCTCGGTTAGGGCTCGGACACGGTCTTGGGCTGTGGACTTGGATCTTGGTCCTTGGAAATTTGACTGTGGGATGAACTTGAACGATCTGTGTCTGCATCGGTGTTGGGCTTAGCCTTCGGCCCAGGCCTTATAATATATTTACTGCAAATTTATTTACAAAAATGTGGACCATAATAAAATACAAACGGTGTTGGGTTTGGACTCGGATTTTGACCCAAGTGGACCTCTCCAAATACAATGTATCTGGACATGTTGACTCCACCTGACCATTTCAGAATGTTATCAGGTGGAATAGTGGTGTATTAACACCTGGCCGTTTTCTGCGCATTACAACAGTTATCAGTGGGCCGTTATCTGCCTTAATTGGTTGATGACCAGAGTTATATGAAGAAAGAGATATAACATCATCTGCATAATTTCTATTTTGAAAAGCCTCACGCATACATACAATGTGTTCCCAACTCCATTCAAGTTCGTTGTAGCTCAGAAGTGTGAAGTGCTAAAACCTCTTAAATGTAGTCGTTGTATATTCGGGGACGAGAAGTCTGAATCTGTCTGCACATTACGTGGCACATTGAGGAAATAGCAACTCTCACCTCGGCTTATTGTCTTTCCGCTTTTAACTTTTCTAGTAATTGTCTGTTATAGTTCATACTGTAAGAACTTAAACATATTAATTCAGTTCGTAAGTTTCCTATTGTAAATCGACATACATGTTTTAACAATCGCAAGATGAATTGGTGGCATCCACTGGAGATGGTTTGTATGCTCAACAAACTCAACAGCCTCAGCAAATCGATTAACAATGTTGTTTATCATCATCATCCCGTAATTGATATCCATGTACCAACTACTGAACGCCCAATAAATTCAATAGGGTTGATTTCAAGAGATGGAAACAAAATATAAATTTTACCAAACCATTTTAGGATTGGCGAAGTACCTGAAGGACTATCTTCCCTGTTGTTGCTAAAAATGAGACCAATACTAAACTACACACTGCGTATGGGAGCACTGTGACTACCTTTGTGGTAACTATGTCCTGAACGGACTTATACCAACTTGTATAATGTGTAAATCTTGATTGGTTCTGCCAAAGAGCTTTGGGATGCTTTGGAGAAGAAAAAGATGATTAAAGATGTCGGGGCGAAGAAATTTGCCATTGGCAAGTTTTTAGATTTCAAGATGGTCGACTTCAAGACCGTCATGTCTCAAGTTCAAGAGTTTCACCTGCTTGCACGACATCAATATTAAATGAATGACTTTGAGCGAGTTATTCCAAGTTGCAGCTATGATTGAGAAGCTGTCGTCAGGTTGGAAAGACTTCAAGAACTACCTCAAGCACAAAAAGAAGGAAATGAGTCTTGAAAACCTGGTGTTCGTCTTCGTATTGAGGAGGACAACGGTAAGTCTCTAGGCAAAGCCCACAACTTGAGCAAAAAGAAGCCTGTTGTGAACAACAACGGAAAGCAGTCTACTAAGGTTTAAAAATTTACCGACAATTACCACAATTGTGAAAAGCCGAACAATATGACGAAAGACTGCAAGAAACCTAAAAAGGGTGGGCTAAAAATAGTGCAACCAAGTGCCCACATACTGTAATATTTATTTCAAATTTTATTTTAAAAGTTACTTCTAATTCTATTTATGTTGACAAATGCCCATCAGTCGATCATTGGGAATAAAAAATTGATCTTCTATATATTCCACATGAACTCAAATGTGGAATGATCTATAATTCTATAAACGATTTAAATAATCATTCCTTTAATTTTCAGTTCTAGAATTCCATCGGAACACACTCAATTCCGAGCATAGAAACTTTAGATCAAACTCTTTTAGATCCTTTAAAGAGTATGAAGGGGTTAGAGGAGAAATAATGAAACCGTTTTCATCAGTGAACATATTGTTCCATGGCCCATGCAATCCTAACTAAACTATTGAATTTATTATTGATCGCAACAACATAAGTAACTTTGATTTCTTCTCCGTAAATTAACATTCATATAGCAAAGCATTTTTGTTGCATATATCCAAATTCGATAGACTTTGAACTCCTTTCGTGAGCACAATACCGTATATACAATAATTAACTTATGGAGAAGAATGCTTACTCAGAAATGGGAAAGTGGGACACTATAAGTTTAAAATAGAAAAATTAAAAAGAGAATTAATAGATAAAAGAGCAATAATAGTACGAAGAGAAGTCATCTGCTTTGCCGGAAGCAAACCGTGAATTGCTGTTGATAGAAATTAACACTGTTGTTGATAGAAATTAACTGAACTTATATCTTTGCATTGCATTCTGAATATCCTAGTCCGCATACTTTTACATCAACCTCTCAATCAACTAGCTCAGTCAGCGGAAAGATTAGAAAAAAATGGACACTTTTTACATCAACCTCTCAATTAAAGAGCGCAAGTGGGTTTTTCCCTTTCTTTGCTATATCTCACGACATATATGGCCCAAACAATTTTCTAATATACACTGTTTATCCCGCGGAAGTTCACAACTAGTGTCGACTCTAAACTACGATCGAAGATCCCAACCTTAACACAATATACAGCAGTGAAGATAGCTATCACTAGAAAACAAATATACAATATGTACTTCTAATGCTACTAAAAAAAATAAACAACAGGTCCAGGACAATACAGTTCAATAGTACTAAATAGTTAGTGCATAAGGAAGTACACCATTTGGATGCCCTTTCACCTCACCACCAACGTCTGGAAAGTTCTCGTGCCCCGGCATTGGTTTTACGTTTCCATCAAAGTCAATCTCCAATGGGTATTTCAAGATATGGCCTTGTAATGGAGTGAATGGCTGATCTGTGTATCTTTTCCAATTATCTTCAGCCACGCGATTAACATGACTCAAGCACTCCATAGTTTCAGGATTTTCAAAGCAATCCTCGATGGTTCCCACATGCTCTGACCAAAGGGACATGCGGTATCCATATATCTGAATATCATAAAGAGAACAGTTTTAATTCGAAGCCTTTACTCTTTCAAAGATGAAAAACGAGAGTGAATTTCAAAATGTGCAAAAAAAAAAAAAAAAAAATGAAAAACCTGGCCATGAGGATGCTTGTTTTCCTTGGGCCATGTGTGATGTGGCTGGTAAGCACCCATGTCGATCTCAGTATCCCTGTCGCCGGCCATCGAGCGTTGGTTAATGTTTGCCGAACCGAATAATATATACGCATCATCAACTATCATGGCCTTCGAGTGCACGTAAATCATAAACCTTTTGAATTCTTCTGATGCGGATGCATGCTGGAAACATATAATTATGTTCATACTTTATTATAATGGTGTCACTCAATGCATAGTTACAGTAGTAATGAAAGAACAAACATGATTTCGATTGGCAAGAAAAAACAAAAAGGTAAGATAGGAACTAAGTAATATATTCAGCATTACCGTATTTCGGCTAGATGATGCTCGACTCCCAACATTTGGTACTTCTCGGTTGCCAAGGCAATAGAAATTCAGGTAGTCGGTCGGGTGTGTGCCCTCAAGGCCTGCAGCTTTTATCTCTTGAGCGACCACATTATACATAGTCCGAATTGTGTTGTACTGCATAAGCGTAAAGTATAATTTTAACTTTTAAGGAATAGTAAACACGTGCAGCATGGATTATAAAAATTCTGCCATATATCTATGGCAACATAAAGTATATAAGTTCCTACTAGAGTTGCTATTAAATTGCATATAGTATTATCATAAGATGGTAGAACTCATCAGACACATGAAAACCAATGGAGTGGTTCTTAAGACATGCTTCACGAGTTCATGTTTTGAAAAGTTCAATAAGCAAAGAGCCATATTATATATATCACCTGCCAGAAAAGGACTGTCTGGACCGACCACGACTTTGTCTTCCCCTCTGGCCACATCGGAATGACTATGTAAACACTGAATCTCTCATTTGCCCTAATTTTACTGGCTATCTTCCGCGTCAGCTCAATTGGGATTAGATTGTTAGCACCTGAGGAAAACAAATGTTTTATATGGTGGAAATAAATGGAAGAGGAATATATATGAGAATTCACCTAATCAAAAGAAAGTTTATCACAGATAATAGTGTAGTCTACCTTAGATTATATTCAGAAAAAAGTTGGACAAGTAGTAGAAAACATCTAATTATATATTGTAGATACCAGTCATGTTTAACCAATTTTTGCTACAAACTTTAAGGTTATAAAGCAATCAATCAGGTATATACAAAATCTTGAGGAGCAACTTACCAACATCTTTATGGTCGGAAGGCCAAGCGAAAGATGAACCAATGAAGTATTGGTTCTCGATGTATATGAAATGCTGGGCAGACCTTATTGCCTGGACATATGCCATGTGGATGCTCTTGTCTATGGCAACATTTCTTGTCCATTCTAGGTTCTGAAGAAAATAAACTATTTAGCAAATAATTTCATTGTGATTAAACTATAGGCCATATAAACAAATAATTACTTAAGGTTCATGATTAATACCTGTTCCTCAGCTCCACGGATATTTGTAGGAAATCCGTCTACAGAATCAGAATCTATGGACCGAAAAATCTGTGACACAAAAAGTATTCTCAATCATTTTGGAACTAATATTTGAAACTGAAACAACAAATGAAAAGTTTCTTTTGCAAGTAATCTACAACCTGTATGTGCCATTGTTCAGGATCATTTGGAACCAGTTTTGAAAGAATATTGATGAATGGATCTCTTTCAATCTCGAGTAAAGCCTCGTAACGACTCACGCCTCTAGATCTTTTGAATACACGTTTGATCTTAGACCCATCAATAACCTTTCTCCACCGCTGCTCAAAGTTTCTGAGCACGTCAATTGCAGCAGGGCCTTCAATCTTACAATGCAGATCATGCCATGGCTGCCTTGGGGCCTTCTTCTGTTTCTTTTGAAAAGCAAACAAGAACATAAATCATTGGAAAGAAGCATGCATGTAAACCATCAGTATGATTGCAAAAATAATCAAGGACAAGGTATTTCAAAAATATATTTTCAGTAGATTACTGAAAAGATTAAAAGTAATAAAGCTAGAGGTGTATACCTTAATCGATGGATTATGATGATCATCTGAAAAGACAGTCTCCATATCCTGATATAGTCGGTGTTCAGGAGTGTCGTACCGCCCATTGCAGAGGTCCAGACCACCAATAAATGCCGTTATTTTCCGGCTGTTGCCATGGTCTTGGGTGTCCACAATGACACACTTCTGATGGTGAGAGTATAATATACTCGGATTGCATCCATCTAAGGCAACATAAGAAATATATCCAATTTATAGCACATCAACAATGCAAAATGATCAAAAGTTGTGATAGGTGAATATGTCACTAAAATAAAGACTACTGCTTGAAATTTCTAAACTTACAGTATGGAGGACGACGAGCTAGCATACACATGACAGCAGAATTCTTAAAATACTCCCTGGTCTCTTTGTCATGTGTTTCCATTAATCCTTCCTGCATTTAATAATAAACTTTGAATTAAAAGCATACTAACAATCCATAACTGTGTTAGATACCCAGTGATACAAATAATTCATATTGAGAATGTAAAATATATAGCAACAGCAGGAACATGATCACGACGCAGCTTCAAGTGTTAACTGAAACAAAAAAAATATGAAAACAGCATAACAGTAACTTGTACAGAGCCTATGTCTAATTTTAGATGAAGTAATTCTTTTTAACCAAGAAACAAATTATGGTAGCAAAACAACCAGCAACAGATGCATGGATAATCATTTTTTCATTTTTAGTGTGGCAACAGTCATGGAGCATGATAAGGTTTGTCATCCATCAATCTTATATTGTTGTTGTAGATTACTTTTTATTAGTCATCATTTACATATTCTACGTTTGGTTGATTAATAGATACCCATCCTTATCATACACACAGACCTTATTAAATGAGCAAAGAAACAAAGAAGCTGCAGCATTATATTTTACTTGGAAATATTTTTAGTTGCACAAATTAAAGAAATATTTTTTCAATTTAGTTATTGCACCCCCAAGATGAGCATATGCGTTTTTAAGTGTCAACGAGAGATATACCTTATGGATCCCAAACTTCCTCACTGAAGTCAGGTCTTTCCAGACTAGCAGTAACACTCTCACTCCTTCGCGCGACTTTCGAAGCAGCAACTCCCCAAGCGTCAAATTTCTTCCACCCTGCACAGGCCACTCGACCTCCCTCACAAGCCGCACCTTGTGGTAGATGGACCAGCCCATGATGTAGATCAGCCGTTTTGCGTCAAGGATTGCGCTGCATATGTCCCGCCAGCACTGCTCATTCCGGAAGATTCCGGCCCCATCTAACCGGACCTCAGGAAGCGTCCCCAGGCCTACGTGTGCGTCCTGGTACAGCGTCAGGGAACCCCCACGGCGCATGGGGAAGTAGGTCCTGCCAGTCTCGTAATTCTCAGAAATGCCCCTCAAGTACTCCGAATTGGTGGTGAAGGGCACAAACTTTATGTAGAGCTTGATTGATCCGTTGAAGAGAGAGTGGGAGCTCGTGAATGGGACCCACTCGTCCATGGGGACGGCAGACACGAGTCTGCTTACAGGAACGGAGGCAATGGCGACCACGTTGGACTCCGTGTCTGTGACCTTAAATTGTAATGCTGACTCCTGAAATTTTCCACGCAAATTGCTGGTGAAACACAGGCAAACACAACAGCACACACGGATGGCACACTGTACCCAACAAACCATATTTTTTAGTGAACATGTTTTGCTTATCATCTAATCACAACATAGTAACTTTGATTTCTTTCGACATAAATTAACTTCCATATACCAAAGCATTTTGTTGCATGTATAATGATAATCTAAATTGGATGTACTTTAACTCCTTTAGTGAGCACAACATGGGTATGTCGACAATAATTAACTTGTGGACTTCTATGTATGTTATAGAAAAATACTATGGGCTAAATTGCTATCAGTATTTATATGGATGGTAATGGTGAACATTGGAAAAGCATAAAGTGGTTATGCATTTTTTTGGAAATCGTGAACATTGGAACAACAGTGGATTTGGCTTTAGAAGGTGGCTGGGTTGGTATGCAGTCCAGTCACCGAGATACAAGCTATAACTTCAAATCGCAGCCTAAACTCAAGTCATAAAATGGCCATAACAAAGAAACGAACGAGTACGAGAAGAAGATAATAGAAAGTCTTTCGGTATTCTCGATTTTTCACGAGAGAAAACACAGGAACCCTAACCCAACATATACAACAACGACGATGAAATAGAGAAAGACAACTCGTTTGATGCATATGAATCACGCCATCCTTGACAGTGTAAAGCAGAAGCATTCTCCTTAATGCCCAATCAACTACGGCCCCTAACAAAACAACGCCATACACCCAAAAAACAACAAAAAAAGGGGAAAAGAAGGGTGGGGGTGAGGGAATGGGAACAACAGGCGAACAGCAGGACTACTAGAACTGTCTGAGCTAATTAGCTCTCTTGATTCTTGAAATTACAATATGTTGATTAATTTACATATATATTATGTCATTTTTTAAAAAATATGTTAGAACTTCTTGAAGGGCAGATAGAGACCATGTTTTGCTTGTGTAGCTCTATTTTCTCTTTTCTATTTATTTCCATGAGATCAAAATAGATGGTCAAAGAAAAGAATAAGTCCATACTTCCGAAATCGGGTGACCTAAAGGAATGTTGAAATGTTGGTTCCAAACAGGATTGGTGAGCATGGAGTTGGCTGCTTGGGCCTGGGCAAGTTCAACTTCACTGAAATCAACTACCATGTTTGGACGGTAGAGACGCTGAGATGACTCTGGTACATCAGGAAAGTTCCGGGCTTCTAAGATCCTCAGGTCGAGGTCTCCATGCAGATAAGAAGTGTGTGTGTGTGCCATCTCTTAATTTTAACGTTATAGTGTTTTTTTTTTCTTTCGCAATGTGTGCACTGAGGAGCTAGTAGAGAGTGCACCGAGGAGATGGCATATATTTGATGTGCAGGTAACATGAGACAGACAGCATAAAAGAGCATATTTGTTTGGTCTTGCACAAACATGGAAGTGTTTTTGCTTTTGTTTTGAACAGAAGAATCAATAAAGCATAATGCCATGTGATGAGGCAGTAACTTAAATTGAAAAAAGTGTTTAGAGATGACTGTGATTGCCTGTCACTATAGGCATTCTGATTTTGGCAACAAGATTTGAATCACCACTGAAAACCAAACAAATAAGAAAAGGAGCAGAAGAAATGCAGAGGGAGAAAAGAAGAGGGAATAAATGCAAACTAGAGATATACCTGTACGTGCCCTTTTCAGTGAAGTTGGGTCCTTCCAGCCAGGCCTTGGGCGGCATTGCTGGGCCTCAGTGTGTGAAAGCGGGAACCAATTGTCCATGAACTTGTTGCAAAACATTGACCTTGTTTAACAAAGGGAACCCCTATAACTTCCACATGAATTTATGTTGAAATACAGACGAACACAGACAAATTGACACACACACAGATGCACACGTTGCAATTAGCACCCAATTGAAACCCTAACCTTCCCCAACCCAAGCAAGAGGAGACATGGCCATCAAAGTCCTCGTTCTTCTAATTCTTCGTTTCATTTCCAGCAACACAGCCTCAATTGTGGATTGATTTTCTCCAATCAGGCGGCCAACGGTGCTCGCAGCATTCCAGCCAAACGAGGTAAAAGGACAGCTGGTTTGCCGAACGGGTCAACGCACCTGGGCCGGGCCCCTTTCGACCGGTTTGGCAAGAACCCGCCAAACAATGGGAAAGTGAGAAGCTCGAATTTCATGGATGCGAGCAGTTCGATTTCGAGCTTTGCTTTGTAGGGGGTGGTGGCCATGGATACCTGGGAAAGGGGTTTACACCTTTTGGGATATAACAGGAAAAATGAATAAGAAACGAGCTTAATTTGGCAGTTATTGGTTTTAGGAAACAAATGAAATCTGATTAAATTTGGGAAAACGAATATATTCAACTGAGTCAAGAAACAAATATACACTAACCCCAAGGGCAACAACAGTACAACTGTACAAGTGTACAACACGCATACAGTAGGACTAGTACGTAACCCGTGCCATGCACGGGATGTAAAATTTGGAAGAATAATATAACCTCACATGTATTACGATCGAAATTGAAATCATTAAAATACATAGGAACATTGTTGAATCATAAAAAGTTCGGTAACAATCATATATTATTAAAAACCTCCTTGTACACAACATTATGAGTTTGATTATTTAGTAACTCCTCATTATCACAAACTAATATTTTCAAAAGAGACAAATCCTAAAACTAATATTTTTTGTGAACAAACTAATATTTTAAGATTGGTGAACAAACTAATATTTTAGGATTTCTAGGATTTGTCTCTTTTTGGTGAACAAACTAATATTTTAGGATGGATTATATGAATAAGGCTACCTGTTTTTGGTGTTCTTTTCATTCATTTTCATTTAAACAATCCAATGACTTGTATAATGAAATCAGAATCTTAAGCCGAAATATTTAAAAAAAAGAGTTTTTAAAAATTGAAAAGTCAAGACAATCAGTTCAGATTAATTAAAGGTCAAAGAATATCCGCTCCTTGAAATTAAGACGTGTGCTATCATTAACCAAATATCCGGTTATTGATATAGAGTGGTTACCAAAAAATAGAACGCACGACTTAATGGAAATATCAATGGGATAAGGTCATAATAGATCGCTATACATTTTAACGATAAAAGCTCAGATGGAATGATTTATGAAATTATGTCGTAATTAATGAATTAATTAGATGTGTGAAAAGGACATAATGAGAGGTGTGAAAATGACATAATTAATGAGAAGTGTGAAAATGACATAATTAATGAGAAGTGTGAAAAGGACAAAAACTTACCAGTTTTGAAAAATATTTAATGCAAATCCAACATTGACCATAATTTGACTTACTATTTTGGATAAATGTTAATTCTTATTATATAAGTATAGATTTATTTTTATAATTATTTGTCAAAAAATTATTCATCTAAAAGCACGAATTTTAATATCAATTTTCACACCTTACTTCATATTCATAAAAAGACTATGCCATTTTTCTTCTATACTAGTACGTGACTCGTGCAATTAACAATGAAAAATTTTATAATTATATTATAATTTAAATAAATATATAAATAATAATAATCATGATTTATTCATTATTTCAGAATTAAATCGGACCGAATAGCCCAACTAAGTAAACCACGAACCGAATTATCGATCAGTTTGGTTCTCTTTCAATCTCGAGTAGAACCTCGTAATGAGACACACCTCTAATTTATTTGACTACCCGTTTGATCTTAGACCCATCAATAGCCATTCTCCACCGCTGTTCAAAGTTTCTGAGCACGTCATTTGCATCAGGGCCTTAAATTTTACAATGGATCATGACATGGCTGCCTTGGGCCCTTCTTCGATTTTTTTTTTAAAGCAAACAAATACATAAATTATTGGAAAGAAGCATGCATGTAAACCATCATTATTATTGCAAAAATAATTAAGGACAAGGTATTTCGAAAATATATTTTCAGTAGATTACTGAAAAGATTAAAAGCAATGAAGCGAAAGGTGTATACCTTAATCGATAGATTATGATGATCATCTGAAAAGACAGTCTTCATATCCTGATATAGTCGATGTTCAGGTGTGTCGTACCGCCATTGCAGAGGTCCAGACCACCAATAATATTTTGCAACATGTACTATTCGAATATTTGAGGTTTGCAACCTAAATAATTTTTGTATTAAGTTGCAACCTATAATACAAAAAATGTCTATATAGCAATCTTCGTCCACCGGCGGTCCAAATATAATTATGGTTTATTAGTATGCTTTTAATCCATAACTCTAAACAAAAAATTGTTTTGTTGATGGATAGGAGGAAATTAATCATTCATTTACATCTAGCAATAATTCATTTCATGGTTATCAATTATCCAAATTTAAGTAAAACAAATTTAATCTTGATAAACTCAACTTTATTTGACTTTCAATTCTTTTGTTGATGAAGGGAAATTTATTGAATTCATCTCTCCATGCAAAATTTTTAGCATATAACTCATGCATTATATTAATACCTCCATCAAGATATAGATGCATATGATAGAAAATGGTCATATCTCATACTCAAATTATGTTGGTAACTATGCTAGTAATTGGAGTTACAGTTTTAGAGTCTGATATTTCCAATGGCCAAAAGCTTCTATCACGAAAACAATATTGTTATATTACAGGTTTTGTTTTCTATTGTGCACCCGATATAGTAACTAAAATAATTCAAAGAATTCCAGATCGATATCACTCTCCAAGTGACAAATGCTGTAAGTATGTACATAAGGTTGACTTTAAACTCCTTTGTGAGAAATTTTTTAATACAAAGATATACGACACAGATTCTGTGATAACAGTTGCAAGGCGTTGTAATAATCCTCTCCCCATTGGCACAAAATGTGGAGGTAAGTCTCAATGTTTACCTTTTCTTTACATATAAATTAGAGTGAATAGCAATTTTCGTTCAATATGTTTCGTTAATTTTCAGAAAAGTCTTTTTATATTTAATTATGATAAAGAAAAATCATTGAATTAAATTAGTTCATTTTCAGAAAAGGTCTTTCTATTCAATGTTCTTTTTCAATCATCCATCATTGCTCTAGATCTTCATTTACTCGGGCAAATATTTTAGTGCAAAAGTACATTTTGACACGAGTAAATATTTTTTACTAACAGATAACTTTAGTGCAAAAGTTTATTTTCCAAATTCTCAAAATTAAATATATATATATATATATATATAT